AGCTCAAGGCGGAGATTCGACGTGTCATTGGCGAAATTGAGCCGCAATTATGCGGAAATGTCATCGAGAATTTCGTCAAAAGAGCAAGAGTGTGCCAGCAGAGTCGTGGGGGACATTTGTCGGATATCGTGTTCCACAATTAATCGCAGTGTGTGTGCTTTATACTGAAATAAAAATATCGGCACTTTTTGAATAAATGATGCGTTTTATTACAAAATTAAATCTTGCGCTCTTGTTGGGACACCCTTTAGTTGCTAGTGCTATTTTTGCGTATAAATGATTGATCTTCGTGCTTTTCTGTATGCCTCAAGCCTTGCAATTCCTGCAGTCTTTGCTGCATTGTGGATCATAATTTTCCAAATTGAGAACAATATGGGATTAATTGAAGAGAACAAGCACCTGGCTAACTCAACTGACAACCTTTAACTTTAAAAATGCAAAACACTTGTAACAACTTATGAGGAATTGCTCAAAAACCAAATTCTTCATGTAAGACTGTCTGCCCAAGGCTTAGCCATTTTTGAGTGCACCAAAGTAACATAAATTGGCAAAGACCAACATGGAAAATGCTTGTTCATGGTGATTGTTGATCTTCAAACATTGCAATCATTTTGCATTTGAACCATTTTTTTTTTCTTTTTACTGAAGCCTTCATTAATCAACCAAAGATATCACATTCCTGAAAACATGAGGCATGCACAATATTGGATGGAGATATTTAAAAAATAAATAGGCACCACTACTGAAAAATGTCTTAATACTGCAGAACTTGCTAGATTAGTTCCATAAATGACATCCGCTAAGTTTGAAAGGGTGTGTTCCTTCTCCCTCTCCCTTCTAGTGAAGATAGCTCACAAGCATGAGGAAGTCGAGCAAATGAGAAGCATACAGATCCCCAATACCTACTTTGACTACTGCTATGATACTTCCAGGACTCAGTAGCAGCAACCAGAAAACAACAGATTGGCATTGCCACTCACATTATTCTTTGATTTCTGAATACTGAAGTCATCTGAAAGGCTTGAGAGCTCCTCCTTTTGCCGTAGATTTTCTTCACTCAATTTCTGGATGAGGTGGTCTCTTTCTGACAGCCTGACAAGAAAAGTGAAAAACTCAAAAGGACATTGTACTCAAAAGCCTGGCAGGAAAGTCTTCAGGATGGAAGACTCACACAGAGTTGACCTCATTCAGTTTTTTCTGCAGGGATACCACCATTTCTATATCTCCAACATCTCCATTGACTTTGGGAGAAGAGGAGCCTGCTTCTTTGAGCCTTCGATTTTCATCCTGCAGATGTCTAATCTCTCCTTCAAGCTGAGACATTCGCACACCCAATTCACGTACATGCACTACCTTCTCATCTGCCAACTTCTGCAGATGAGTCTTCTGAGCATTCATTTCCTGAAATCAACCACAATTTAACCAGCTGGTCTAGTACCTCTTTAGACAATCCATATAAAAATGCGAGAGGGGAAAGCTATTGCCAATGGAAAAGATATTTCCTCACATCAAGTTGTTCTCGGAGTTGGACAATATGCTGTCTGGAATCATCCAGACTGGCATATACTTCTTGACACTCCTTCTCAGTAGTTTTTGAATGTTCTTCTATCTGTGCAGTTTCCTTTAAGACATTTTGCAACTTTGCCCGCAGCTCCATAGCCTCTCGATGACTTTCCTGAAAATATGAGGGGCACCTTGAATCATTTCTTAAAATTACAAATGCAATTTTTGCTTATGAATCTTTTTTAATACCAAAAATAACAAAAATTTTTTAATAACAAAAAACTATGATGCAATTGAAAATTCAAAAGCATATGCTTTATTTAACCCTTTCAGACCCCATATCCATTCCAATGGACATTGCATTTTCATTGTTTTTATGGTAATTACTTTGGATTCTCATGACTTTGCACTCCATATTAACTACAATGGACTCAATTATGCATGGCTCAATTCCATCAGAGGCCATCTCTCACCTGTCAGTTTTGTAATTGCAAGTATAATATACAATATATGGTATGATATAGTAAATTTATACAAAATATAAACATTTATATAGGGTGCGCGAGTAGAATTGGCGTGAGTTTAAACAGATAAAATCCAGATAATACAAGATTTTCTTGACCCAGGAGCCAAACATGTTGTGGTTTTTTTCTGACAAGAAAAACTTTTGCCAGGATCAGGCACACAACAAGCAGAACAACAGATGGTTGGCTGTGAGTCCTAAAGATGTGCCCAGAGCCATGAAAACAAAGTTTCCTGTTCACATCATGGTCTTCGGTGTCGTCAGCAGTGACGGGCATGTTATGCCCCCACACATCTTTGAAGAAGGCCTGAGAGTGAACCAGAATGTGTACCAAGACGTTCTGGCGACCGTAGTCAAGCCTTGGATTGAAGAAGTTGCCGCAGGAAGACCATACGTGTTCCAGCAAGATTCTGCACCAGCACACACGGCCAGGAAAACTCAGAAGTGGCTCGAGGATAACTTTTTTGACCATGTTACCCCTGATATGTGGCCTCCAAACTCACCTGACTGCAATCCTCTTGACTATTATGTGTGGGGCGCAGTTGAAAGGATCACTAATAAGACTGCCTGTAACAATAAAGCTGAGCTGAGGGAGAGAACCTGCCAGGCATTTCAAGATTTGTCTCCTGAGATTGTAAAACGCGCCTGTTCTCGCTTCCGAGGTCGTCTGGAGGCTGTGATTGATGCTGAAGGTGGCTTTATTGAATAAGTTCCATCTATAAAGCACTACCTTGCTCTTGTTTCTGGAATTTTCAATAAATGTTTAAAATTAGAAATTTTAGAGATGTTTTTCCTTAATGTATTTTCCACACCAATTCTACTCGCGCACCCTGTATATAATAGTTTTCTTTTAGAATCCATTTACCTATTTCATATTCCTCCCATGAATGCTCATTGTGAAAATGAATTAAGGGAACTTGAGTGTCAATTCACAAAAAAATTTACAAGGATTTCACGAATAGCTTAAAAATTGTACTTGAACAGCAAGGACAATGTTACTCATCAACAAAGTATTTAACCTTTCACCTTGGGCTGAAACCCTGTAAATAAAAATCAGAAAAGATTCTATGAAGGCTTTATGTCTCTGCTAATGCTATGCAAAATTGCAAAAAATTGTAATTTTCTGAAATAAGTTTTGAATCTGCATATCACTTCCATCTACTCTTCATTGGAATACTAATAGAACTTGGAAAATGCAACTGCCACTCAGTTGGAGGCTGGTATAGAAGCCCATGTCTGTTGAATTAGTCTGAACATGCATTCTCAATTTGCCAGGGAATAACCATTTTCTCTTTGGTGCTTCAGAATTTCAAATTTAGTTCACTAGAGAGAAAGCATTTCTTTGATATCCAGATGATATTGAATGTGTTGCTAACATAAAAAATTTTCATTAGAGGGACAGTAGCTATCAATGATATCAGAAGTAGTAAAAAGAAAAAAGTGGGACAAAAATTTGCTACCAAGACTGATAGGAACTTACTTTCCATAAGCATTATATTCCCCTCTTCAATTTTGGATAACTGCTTTCATGAGCAGATATGGGTGAAGTGATTCTCAGCTCACAAAAAGAGTAGCTGCAACCCCATTGAAAGTCATCAGACTTCCTGAAGCAGTCTTGTCAGATATGTGTATAACTCATGAGAGTGAGTTGTCAGATTAGCCTTTCATAAAAAAAAACTGTCTCCCCTTAAAAAGGTCATGCTTTCTACATTATGCATGCAGTGCAAGTGAGAAAGCTACATTAGGTGGAACCTACTGTACATGCTCCAAAAGCTAGAAGTAAGAGGGACATTACTGTCATTTTAGAATGGAATGGAAAATAATGAAAAATCAATACTTTTTGGTCTTGCAATTTAAAAAAATCAGGACATCATATTTTGCCTGATTTTTCCTTTCTTTTTTGTTTTAAATCCCTTTTTCCAACTAATCCTGTGTTTCAGAGCTGGTTGATTGCATGATTTGTAAAGCAATTAAGATTTGCCTACCAGATAGTTCAGAAATAGATTCATAAATAGTTTCAGAACTATTTTAGAAGGGAAAGTTTAATGAGTAGTTTGGTTTTATTTGGTAGAACCGCTGAACAGTGGGTCTTGTCTCCTCTTGAGTCATGTGAAGGAGATTCTACTGGCCTTGAAGCCAAGGATCCGTGAGGGTCATCGCAAGGCACTGTCTTCAAGGGACCTTGTGATACTCACCCGTATCTCTGAAATGGTGTCTGATCCTGTGGAGAGTGCTGATGTCCTCCATCTCCTCATCCCTGTTCTCAACAACCGCTTGCAGCAGTTGTCAATGGATACCCAGATCAATGTCCTCCTCACTGCTCAGAACCTGATCTGCATTGCTCAGGCACCAATCTCGTTTGTCAGGTTTGTGTTGGGGGAAAAATTGGAGTTCTCATAACTATTTAATGTTGCACCACTTCAAGGAAACCTCCTTGTATGAAGGAACTGAAGAATGTATGAGTCTTGAGTGGGATTTGCAAATTAGATGTAAAGGGTACCCAAAAGGGTTATTTTTTAATTGCTGTAATTCCTATCTTGTTGAAAACACATGATGATAACTTGGTTATTTTTATTTATTTATTGTACAAGTATTTATTTTACCAAGAAGTTGGGGATTTTGTAAGCTGTAACCTGTTTTTTTTTTTTGTTGCTATTGTGGGATTTGATTAATCAAAGGTCTTGAAAACCTGTTTCTGTGGAAAAGTGACATACCAATTTCATTGGGCAATCTTGTCTTTCAGCTAAGCTGTACATTTGCTACCACTGTGTCCTTCATTCATCAATTGTCCCTTCTGCCACAAACTTAGGGACAAATGCAAAGTTGATTTTATGATCTTGAGTGGTTTAAAACATTCAACTGCCATTTCACATTTTGTTTTATCTGAAACATGCTCTTTGTCTGGTGCTACCAGATAACTGATGTTCTGTTTTTCTTGAAATTTCAATTCTAGTTGTCAATGACTACTTCCAATATCTAACCTTACCTTTGGAAGCAAGTTTCAAGTCATGTCTACCAACAACATGAGAATTACAGCCATTTGAAAATTAGGTTTTTCTTTTTTGGAACTTCCTATAGATACTGAAATTCCAAGCTTATTGACTTAGGCTTATTTACTTACTTAGGCCATTTTGACTTTAGAGTCTAATATGCATATATTTCCCATGGAACCCAAAATCAAATCCAAGTTAAATCTTTAACACTTTAACACTTTAACACTTTCGCTGCCGAGCCCCTTTTTGGAGGTCGTTCCCCTGGAGCCAAGGTGATGATTCAGGAAGGATCGCAGATAAAAATTCACATCCCATCCGCTTCCAAACGTTTTGAAACATTCGTAAGGTGTGTAGCTTTAGCAGGGAAAGTACACACTGCTCGGTGTTGCTCTTTTGGTTCCCATGCGTTGTCATTTTTGTGTTAGAAGGAGTTTGTCGGGCCAAAATAGCTTGCTGTAATTTTACTATTCTTCTCCCTGCACTTATGGTTCCATTTCACTCAGTATTATTACCTTACCAAATTAAGAAAGAGCAAGAAACATTTTAGGCTATTTGAAACTAAATTAAATGTTTGATTGCATACCTGAACACCCATTAGTAAATTGGATTATGCTCTGATCTCTATATTTCAATCTATTCCTGGAATATCTGTTTGGACCATGCTTTGTTTGCCAATTCCAAATTTTATGTGATTTTTTTGTTGTTTCTGTCATTGCAGATCATTGTCTCGTCTGTTCTCACTCTTGAATGGACAACAGGTGCGATGGCAATTGTGTGCTGTGTTTGGAGCCCTGGGTGAGAGAGAGCCTGGAATTAAGTATCTTTCAGACCTGGCCCACAATCTCAATTCCTGGCATCCAAAGCGAGTTGAGGAACTGGATTATGACCGGCGCCTTCAAGCCTTCAAGGACATTCGGCATGTCTTGCAAGAAGATGTTGGGCAGGCAACAACAGACTTTCTCTGTCTTGTCATCTACAATGCCTCTTATTCCATTCGAAAGGTACCTGTACTGCATTGATGAAATTTTTTTACTCTGGTCGTCCCTGAAGAAATGATATCTCATTTTCTTGTATTGCTTTGTTGGTAACAGGAGGATGACCTGTCTCTCCGAGATGCTGCATCATATTGCCTTCAACAAGTGGCTGAAACCTTTCCCAAATTATCAGTTAAAGGGATTCTGCCTGAAGTTCTTCTCCCAGAAGTAAGACTGGGACTGCAGAGCAAAGATGAGAATGTTCGACATGAGTTCATTGCCATCCTCAGTGCCTTGGTTTGTTGTTTTCCTTGTACATCTGTTAGAAATGGTGAAATTAGGTATTTCACTAAAGGTGACCTCACCATTTCTACAAGCAATATTTTTGTAGGTGATGCATTGTGGAGGTCTGAATCATAAGTTGAAGGAGTTAGCCATCCTGACATCTGAAGATCCTGATACAGATTTCTTTGCCAACATAGGGCACCTCCAGTTGCATCGACGTGTTCGAGCCCTTCACAGGTCGATCTTTGCACTTCCCTCTAAACAAAGCAGAGGATGAATTTGGATGGAATTTAAGGAGAAACTTTTTTTTGCTTTTATTGTTTCAGACTGAGCAGGGAAATGGAAGGAGAGCAGAAGGGATTGTCAGGTGAGACACTGACTCACTTCCTTCTTCCTCTTGTTTCTGCATTCCTCTTCAATCCAAAATACACGAAGGAGAACCATGTCATCGATGCTGCCATCCAGGTTAATTTCTCTGTCCTTGCTTTTCTATTCCCTCTCATTTTGTGTCAAGGCATCCCCTTCAAGCCTACATAAAAATCAAGGAATGAAGCTTCTATCAGTAGCGTATGTAAAAAATGGAGGATTTATTTGAATCTTTTCTTCCCAGAGTTATGCATCATGCTATAGTGCTTTTCATGGCAGATTTATTAAGTTAACTTTTATGTTCATAATTTATCCTATTTGTATTTTCTGTGTTATAAAAAAAATAAACTTGTTTCTTTCTCATTAATAGCCCAAGTAAAGCATTCCTTGCATGAAAAGGTTTGATAATGTTGATGCCTGCAAAGTCTGATTTACATCAGATCTGTTGCATATACAGAGTGCGTCTAAAGTCTAAAGCCTGGAGTGAAACAATCCCATTCATTTAATCAACCAAACTTGTTAATAGTTTCACTCTCAGGTGAAGATATAAATACTTACTTATGTGAGTGCACCATTGATACTTAGAGCGCTATGCCCATCAGGACAGGCTAGTGCAGTCAATATGCCAGGGCTGGGAGTGTTGATTGGAATTTGTTTTTGACAGTGTTTGGGAAGAGTGGCAAGCCATCTTCCATGGTTCAACTACCACAGTCTTCTGCGCTACCACCTTGGTCTGCTCCCTCGTCACTTAGAGCACCAAAAGACAGCCATCAAAGTTGTGGTGTCAATTCTGGATGCATTCCACTTTGACCTCTCTGCATCCATGTTTCATCCCATTGCACAGAAGGTCGATGATGATGCTGAGGTTGACAATGAGCAAGATGAAAATGAAAAGGAAGAGGAAGGAGAGAAAAGCCTGATAGCAGAGGAGGGATCAGAAAATTCAGATGAGAGAGAAATTGAGGGAAAGGCAATGGTGTTAGATGCACGGATGGCTACACGGGTACATGAAACCATCATCAAGAGCCTCCTGCCTCATCTGATCAGGCTGTTGAGACAACGAAGCAAGAGTGACCTAGCCCACAAGGTCAATCGTTCTCATCATCCTGAGGATGAAGAGATCCTTCGCATACCTATTGCTCTTCCCATAGTCAAACTCCTTCAGAATCTACCCAAGGGAACTTTGGAAGCATACCTTCCCTCGTAAGACCATCTCTTTCTGTGCATATAAGTATTTTGACCAAATGGAGACTTCAATTTCGTTTGTTTTAGGATCCTACTGAAGTTCTGTGAATTTCTGAAGTCACGGTCTGAAGGGATTCGGGAAGCAAGTCGGGACACCTTGACTAAGCTGATGACATCTCTTGGGCCACGGTTTCTCCCATACCTTGTTGGAGAACTCAAAGGTTGTCTGAAGAGGGGTTACCAGCTTCATGTGATGATATACTCAGTCCATTCTGTCTTGAAGGCCCTTGACCCCTTACTTCAAGTTGGGGAACTAGATCCCTGTCTTCTAGACATCTATTGGGTGGGTCTTTGTTAGACTTGAGTGGAAGGCAGGAGAGCCTATGATAAATGTACAAAATCATTTCTCTCTCACAGTTGTGTCATGAAGAGCTATTTGGGGCTGTGAGTGAGGAGAAGGATGTGAAAGGGATCACTGGGAAGGTGAAGGAGGCACGAGGAAACAAAGGCTTTGATACCCTTGAGATTCTTGCTCGATTTACTTCCCAGGGCCTCATTCTTCCCCTAATCACCCCTCTCAAAGAGGTATTTTGTTTCACCTCATCGCTCTCAAGTATCATATTTTAAGAATGCATAGCATATTTAGATTGCCCTGAATGTTGGATTTTATGAAGAAGCTAACTATTAATTTTCAAGATTTTCCCAAAGCTTAGAAATGTTCTACAGGGTGGCCCATAAGTCCCAATCGGTTATGATAACACATGCGCATGATGGAGCTCACACTGATGTAATCTATTACAATGGAAAGAATATTTGTCGAGATTGTTGTATTTTGTACTTTGAATAATCAATAAATATTTCTAAACTTATTACAAAATTTCTATTTATTTTGATTTTTTTCTGATTTCGCTTTAATTATAACCGATTGGGACTTATGGGCCACCCTGTACTTTGAAAGAAATAGATAGCAGAAGAAAATGATGACAAGTCCTTAATGCTGTAGTTTCCCTCATTTTTGTTCTTAGGGAGAAGCATTGATGAAATGATGTGGAATTTCTAACCAAGAGTCTAATTCTTTTAAAACATCTTTTGTCTTCATTCATGCAACTATCCTGCCAATGCAGTCACAGTTGCAAATAGCAATGAAGTGAACTGGCCAAGCAGTGGTAGCATTGTAATATTCTTCTGTATCCAAACCCCTTTGCATTTTAACCACAAAATTTTGCTTTTAGAAAATAATGAACTACCTACTACATTCATGCTATTATTTATTATTATATTAAATGAGGATTGTTGAGGTGTCTCACCCTGCCCTCTGCCCCACCTTTGAACCTGGAATGCATGTCTTCTGACTGATTCAAATGAGAGCTTAAAGGCAGGAGATTTAGGTCAAGGAATGGTGTAGATGATCTGCATTGTAATAGTGCCCCAATGACTTGTTCAAACAGTGGTGACAGTTTGCACTTCCTGATTTAGTTAATGCTAAAAAAGTGTGCAGTTGTGGAGGTGGAATACTTAACGAAGCTGTTCAAATTTCACTTTTGATGTTCAGACCTTTTTTCAACTTTTAAATGAATTATAAATACTTTTCAAATGTTCCTATGTGAAGAAATCTGATACCATGTCACATGCATGTATCAGGTAAATGCAGTGCTCCTGTTGACATACCTACTGAACAGTTGCTCTGTCAGGATGAAACTTCATCTATCCATACTCATGGAATGTTCAGGTTCCATGGCATATTGAATTTCTTTGAATTTCCAGATGTGCTTGATGTGCCTTTCTTGGATGTTACTATTCCATGGTGCACCAAGCAATGCAGAAGAAGGAATGGTGAGGTTGAGAAACATATGCCAAAGATATAAATGGAAGATGAAAACAAAATTGTATAGTAGGGTAGGGTGGGGCTATTTGGTCACAATTTTTAGTTTTTCTTACTCCACAATCAAGGAATTAATTATGCAGGAAAACCTTTGAAACCTCAACCGGGGTCATGTCATTCGGCTACATATTCTGCCGGAAAACAAAATCTGTAAATGTGATATTTTAGCTTACAGAATAAAGAAATTAACATGTGGTTAGCCTGACTGAATAGCTCCACCCCTGGGGCTATTCAGTCAATTGTATTCCGTGTCAGTTTTTGCTTTACTGCTCGATTCCAGGGGCTAACAGGTAAAAGAAAAAACACTTCCCAAAGCATGGGTATGCCTATCAGGACTGAAAGCCCCACCCCACCCTATAAATTTTCAAATTGGAACTGATTTAAATTAAGCACAGCAAAACCTCTATTTTAGGCACACACACAAAATGAAACATTTCAAATGACTGCCCTGGCATCCTCCCTCGATCCTCACCAACATGAAAGTGTCCTTGACCAGGTCCATACGAGGCATATCCATCTCCACTTCGAGAGGCTTGATCATGTCCTCAACTTAATATGGTATTAGTCTGACCAAATAGCCTGAGCTGTGACCGATTAACCCCACCCTACCCTATTGGTAATCCATGAACTAAGAGGTTATTTTCTGATGAGAGTGACTAGGGTATGAACATGTCCCAGAGACCAGTCTGCATTGTACATCTTATAAATTAGGTATTTTGGGATTATAGTATGGATTATTTCATGCCTGTTTCATGACTGGAACCCAACCATTTACCCCTGATAAGAAACTGTAATGCCAAAGATACATCAACTACTAGATATGACCCAGGTGACTCAGAGTAACCTAAGGTCCCACTCTTGTCACTTTGCATCACAGGGTCAATTTGTATCACTTGGGGTTTCTTCAATTAGGGGTGTTTCACACTTAGCATGTCATGTGTCCTTTGTGTCAATGCTTGGGCAGGTAGGCAGATGCATGCACGCATGCACACACTTGTCCACTTACATCCTAGGGTTTTCACTAAGTGCAAGGCTTGTGTGTGGAATTGGGATGAGTTCAATTGAAATCGCAAGCCTTGCATTTTGTTAAAACCCTAGAATATAAGTGGACATGCATATGTAAAAGGACCAGTGGATTAAGGCAACTTCAGAGTTACAGTATCCTATCAAGTAGGCTGATAGGTTCCCAATGTTATCAGGAAATAATCTGTGCTCTATTATTGTATGATTCCTGATTTGTGGAACACCCAGAAAAGAAACACTATTTGTTAAGAGTGCAGGTTGCAGATGAATTATGAGCTTGTATTGATTTTGCCACTTGATGAATCAAGGGAGAATTTTCTTGCTTTGTAAACTTGTAGGTGTTGAGCAGTTCGCGATCACACAAAGTGGTGCAAACGGTTGTACGATGCCTGGAGCATATATCTCGAGGGCTGGTGGGGAATTCAGGTTTGTCAATGGACAGCCTTCTCCTCCTTGTCTTGGGTCTAGTGGGAGAATGCATCCCCGATCTTCAACCACGCTCTCGGGAACCAACTGCACCGCGACCTGATCCCCGCCTCCAGCCTGCAGATACCTTCATCGTTCCACCTGAACCTGGTTTGTCTACTCTGAAGGCTTCTTGCTGAACTCAAAAAGGGTTCTATAGGTAAAGTGAAATTGAGCCCAGTAACTTCTCTGGTTTTTCTCCAAGTACGTCAGCCTGCTTGGCTGTTAGGTTAATCGTCACAGCAGTGCCATTATTTTCATTGTGTAGAAACCATCAATGGTCATTGGCTCTTAGTTCCCTCTGATGAGAAGTAGAGGAATTAATGAAATCATAGTGTAAAGCATAGACCAGGGTCTCCATGAAAGAGTTTGATACTGTTTTTTGTTTGGTCTACTCCTTCATTGTTAGATATTTACTTCTCATCAAGGTGTGAGTGCTGGTGTGAGTGAATGCATGTCCATGCAAGATGGAATGGGGGAGGGGAATACTTTTTTTCCTGATCCAATTATTATCCATATTATCCAGTCATTCCATAAAATTGTTAATCAGTGCAACTCCACACAGCCATGAATCTTTCCTATAGCGAATATGACTAAAATATGAATTATATGGAATTGGAATCAAACTACAGTAAACCAAAAACAATAACAGGTATTCTGTGTACTCTACCATGTCACTTTCCTTCAGGTGAGTTATTTATATGGAGAGAACTGAGTTGACATCTGAGTCATGAGAACTTTCTCTCAAGTATGTCCAGAGAATGAATGCTAATACAAACTACCGAATTTACTCGCATATAGGACGAGGTAGGATTTTAGAGACCAAAATAAGGAAAACTAGATTTTATTAATAAAATTCCTTATTTCTTTTATTCACAGATATTAACATCAAATGCTGGTATTAAGTCACACAACCTCGTTTTCTTAACATTTTCCCAACCATCAGCAGAGATTTCTGCTCTGTAGAATTGGAAAAAATCTGCCAATGGTCTGGAAAGTGTTGAGCATACTTTTGCTTTCGTCTATTCAGACTCTCCCTCCGAAAATTCGGAAGAACTCTTCTCTCTCTCACTATCACTCAACAAAGCATCGTCCTCCGATCCGTCGAGTGGATTTGAAATTTGACATTTCTTGAAGGACTTCGATATTAACTCTTGAGGAATGCTCTTCCAAGCAGCTGATACCCACACAGCAAGCTGTGAAGCATTAACACATTTGATGCGGCCAGTTGGGGTCATTTCACAATCTTCGGCAGTAAGCCAGTCCATGTACAGTTTCCTCACATGATCTTTAAATGGCTTGTTGATGCACACATCCAGGGGCTGTATATGTGAGGTCATTCCCCCGGGAATCATCAGAAGAGAGCTCTTGTTCTTCTGTTGCAGGTTTTTTACATCATCCGTAAAGGTGTCCCTTGAATGCATCCATCATTAAAATAGACGGTAGCTTTAGCAATGCTCCTGGACGACGAAGCCATACTGTTTTCAACCCGTCTGTCACAAGCTCGTTTTTCTGGATGAACAACAAGCCTTTCTCGTTCCATCGGATAACAACATCTCTCGGGAAATTTTTATTTTCAGGGATTGATTTCCCCAGGGCATGTACCTCCAAAGTCTGAAATTTTCTCAACTCTGCATCCCAATAGCTACTTGTGTACCAAATTTCAGATTTATAACTTCTCTAGAACATGGTTAGAATTAGCATCAATCAGTCAGTCACGATCGTCTATATATATTAGATATACTACTAGGTTCAAAAAGTTTCAAGACTCAGGTCACTGTGACCGAACGCTATATACAAGGTAGAATTCCGAAAAAGATCTGTTATGCACTGAAAGTTTTAGCAGGACTGTGCCCCTGATGAGGATCCTGCGGAACTAATGCTTGCTAACTTGCTTTGCTTTCGCTTCTCTGAAGTTACCGTCTTCTTGTTTAGTTGGCAGTTTTTTGGGCATTCAACGTTTGCTAGATTGATTATGTTGCCTAATTTCCTTTTCTTTTCTTATTAGTCCACAAGGATAGGTGTCTGTTGCTGTTGGCTAGCCACGCACAGTGCCTTTCCTGGGAGTTAAAGTAGAAGTTGTTTTATGGCCTTTGTGTCTTTATGCTTCATGTTCTTATTCTCCATGTTCTCTCAATATATATATATTTATATTACAAAAACATGTACAGAATCCTTCACTCGCGCTTATAGGACAACCTAGATTTTTGAAGCGGAGAGTATAAAAATATCATCCTATACGCAAGTAAATATGGTAATTTAAGAGGCCTGTAGTGTTTCAAAACGGGGTTTCAAAATTAACGGTGCTTTGGCTCATTGGGGTACTCATATCTCAAAAACTATTGAATTTAGAACCACCAAATTTGGAAAAGAGTATCAGAACCCCTGGACTGTGCAATGAACACTTTTGTGACCATAGGATATACCGTATTTACTCTAGTATAGTGCGCCACCGTGTATAAGACGCACCCCCGCTTTTGAGGTCCCAATTTGTGTAAAAAAAAAAAAGATTCCCCGCGTATAAGGCGCACCCCCCTATTTTGTATCGAAAAGTGTCGGACAAGGGAGATGAATAAGGGGTAAAGTCGGTCTTGAGGTAGGTCGAACCTCGTTTCTTATAACGGCCCCTCGGAGGAGGATGTGAGCTCCGCGAATCAATTTTCCACGCCGCCAGACACCTCAGATTCCGATTCCGATACCGAATGAAGTCCGCGAATCGACGTAGCCACTTACCGTTTTATAATTATTATATTTCTCCTGTTCTGACTGACTGTAGACAGTTTCCGCCTCAAATTAGTGACCAATGGGTTATAGGTACGCTGAAAAATTTTTTTCTCGAGTATAAGACGCACTCATCGAATACAATAAAATATGCAAAAAAAAAGCGCCTTATACGCGAGTAAATACGGTATGTGGGTTGAAATATGGAGTCATTAATATATTCAATGTAATGATGTCATCAGATTGGTGAACATTTGAGTATATTAAATTTTTTAATTACTGATGATCGTAACTAATCTATTTTCCTTGGTTGCAATCCTCATATCATATGAAGAAAAGGTTAAAAGCTTGTTTTGAAAAATATCAACTGTTATGTTCACTAGGACTGCTTTAAGATAATCTGTTGAAATCGAAGATGGCATCATTCCATGGCTACTCCATTGTTTTGGCACCTAATTTGCATTTATTTTTAATTCTGGATATACCCCAATATTAATAGATGGGTTCCCCTGGCTTTTGTTCTGAGATCGTGAGTTTTTTGTGCGAACCCCTAGATGCCCCTTAACTCTTACTGCAGTGGTCAATTTTTTTCACAGCCAGAAGTCCTCCCTAACCCATATCGATTCTAGTATGCTGCAAAAGAGTTATACACTACACTCCAAAAGTTTTGGGATGCTATGTGCATTCACTATCCCAACAAAGCATGGTTCAGCCAGTTATTCACTAATACCCTATTGGCACTACTCAACTATAATATTCAAACGCATTAATACATTTTTTTCATCCTATCCACTCTGGCATATCCCTGCAACTTCTTGAAATGTTTGTGTTACACTTGCATGACTTGGCCTACCAGTTATGTTGCAATATCATTTTCAGTATCCTCCAGCCACAAGGAGAAGCAACTGCCAGGTGACTTTTATTCTTCTGCATTGCCTACAGTTGACTTTGGGATGGGAATTAGCTCTGTGAGTGCAAGAATGGATTTCCCACTCATGTTCAATCCACATTGAACATGTTTTACTCTGTTTGGTACATTCCTTGTGACCATTATGTAAACTAAATATGCAAATGGTCTATACCCTTAAGAAGTGGGTGTGTCCCAAAACTTGTATCATGAGTATAGTGTATTTCCTCAATGTTATATTCTTCATTCATATTCCTGGATTGATGCCTCTGAAATACAATTAAGACTTTAGCCTATATCTCATGGCACAGGTCGAGCTGGTCCACCCGTGAAGGCTGCCATGAAGACAAATGCCCATGTCCTTGTTCAGTTTGGTTTCCACCTCCTCTACTCCCTGCTAAAACAAGAAGACCTAGACACAAAAGATGGAAAGACTATGGAAGCCCTAGATCCATTCCTTGCCATGACAACTGCTTGCCTGGAATCCCCTCATGTGAAGGTTATTTCAACTGCTCTGCGATGCCTCTTGTGGCTTCTCCGCCTCAAACTGCCTTCAAGTCAAAGGGAGCTTGGGCCCTTGAGTAAAGCTGTGTTTTCCCTCCTTCACAAACATGCTGCTCCTGGCATGGCAGGTGGTGACAATGCACAGATGGTGCTTCTTGCCTTCAAGGTTGCTGCAGCACTTTGTTTCAATCATATAATAATGGATGCAGATATGCAGGTGATAAACCTCAATGAATTTCTGCTTAAGGTGATAACACAGATGGTGCGTGAACAAGAAGACCTGAAACTGAGCGCCGAGCAGTTGCGGATACTTGTGACGTACGCCGAGGCAGATCTGTACGACGCATCACGACAGGGGAGTGCATTTGGTCTTTTGCGAGCCATCATCACTCGCAAGATGGTTCTACCTGAACTGCATGAGACTATGAAGAAGGTCGCTGAGCTGAGCATTACTTCGGAGCTGCCTCACATCCAGGGTCAAGCCCGTCAGGTGAGAACTGAATCCTATTGGGTCCCAAAATCTCTCTCTGTATCTGTCTCTCTTATTTATGCATTCTCATCACTGACATCATATACCTTGCTTGGTATAGGTCATGTTTCACTACATCCTCACCTACTCCCTGAAGAAGGAATTGGAGAAGTATATTGAGTTCTACCTGGGTCAGCTGGGTTACCAGTTGGACACTGGTCGAGCTTCGGCCCTCGAGATGATCCACACCATCATCTCTGAGTTCCCTCTCGTATGTCTCTTTCTCTGATGTTATTGTATATAAAACAGAAGACCATAATGTTAGATTGTGTTTTTGTAGAGAATGGTGAGGGAGCATGCAAGCATTTTCTTCATCTCCCTTGCTCCATTATTGGTGAATGAGGAATCAGTGAAGTGTCGAAAGATGGCTGCTCTTACACTCAAGAGCATGCTGAGTCGGCTCCCCATCACAGAGCGCAAGGAACTTTTTCAACTCTGCCTTCTTTGGCTTCAAGATAAGAAGGTATGGAAATTCTCTTTCAACTGAATCTCTACAACACCCTCCCTCTGTGTTGGGATGCCAGGTTAATTTCTTCCCATCAGGTTGGCACAAAGCAGGTAGGATCTCAACTAGCAGGCCTGATCCTTGAGGTGGGACTGGAGGGTTCCCTTACATCTTGTCTTGAGGACCTGTTTCCGATCCTGGTCTCTCTTCTCAAATCGTCTGTGGATGGGGAGACCTGTAACGAGAGAGATGCGGACTTCTCCACGTCACAGAAGTCACGGGACCATCTCTTGTTTCATGTTCTCTCCCTTCTGGTGAAGATCCCTAGCCAAGTCCCCAATCTCCTTGCCCATTCCAAATGGAGTCCATACTTAAATTCCATCTGGGCTCTTTTGGACTACTTCCTCCTCCACCCTTTCTCCTGGGTCCGACTCACTGCCTCTCAACTCCTTGGTCTTCTGTTTGCTTTTTCCTCCCCTGGTGCCATTGCAAAGTGCATTGCCAGTGAGGGCAAGACTGGCAGAAAGAGCCAGGCAGAACAAGATCAGGCTTACCTGCAAGCAGAACCCTCAGAACGATTTCTTAAATTCCTCTTTGCCACCTGTTCCCAATTTCAGGGAGAATTGATTGAGGAACAACTTGCTCTCCAGGTCTGTCAAGTCAAGCCAATGAATGTATATATTAGAAGTCTAAGATTGAGTCTGAAAGTCTTTACTCTGTGTATAGGTGATGAAGAATCTAGTGTACCTAGGGAAGGTGCTGCTGAGGTTACCACTTGTGTCCATGACTCACCCAAAGCTCACATTTCCCTGGCTCCTGAAGAAACTCAGCCAGGAAGCATCCAGGGAAGCAGCCCTTGACCCCAAGAATCCTTCCAAGGTCAGTCGATGACTCTGCAAATCTGCCTTTAAAAGTGAATGAAGTGTTCAGTTTCTCTCCCTTTTTCTCAAGCGGAGGGAGTTATTTAAGTGGATTGGAGCAGTTTTGCTGGAGATGGAGGGAGGAGAGAAGATGGCAGAGCTGCTTCCATTGCTGCTGGTCCCACTGGCACGAGAACTCACGGATGTTCATGCCCTGCGGGAACTCAAAGACCTGGCGGAAGAGGTTGTCGACCTGATTCGTAGTCGCACCAAGGGGCAGGGCGACCTCTTTCCTTCTGCTTTTGCCCAAGCCCAGAGCCAGTTTGCTAAGAGACGTGCCTTGAGAAGGATACGCAAGGCACAAGAGGTAGAGAAAGCTCTTGAGTTTGTGCCGATCTGCTCATCAATCCCTAAGGTATTGGTTTTGGTGTTTGCAGTTGGTGCAGAATCCAGAAAAGGCAGCCAGACAGAAGATCAAGAAGCAGGTGGGGAAGAGGGCAGCAAGGAAGCGGAAGATGGAGAATGCCAAGCCGCATCGCAAGGCCAAACAACGCAGGTTGAAGGAACTTGCCATTCCCACTGCCCTCTGATGTCATACAGGCATTTCTCTAGGTCAAATTGTATGGGTTTTTTTTCCTTGCTGTTCAGGAGATCATGAAGTTGGAATGACATTTTTATTCATCCAATTTAACATGGTTTTGATTTTCAATTGAAGTGAAGTGAAAGCACTTTATTCTCCCATTCAGAAGAGGATACAAAAGCATTCTCTAGGAAAAAAAAAAAACCTCATACAAAAAGAATAGGTAGACAACATATAAACTTCAACAGACTCTTCATGTAAAAATTGGCACTTTATGAACTTGGCACCTTCGTCATTGCTTTTGATTCATGATCGGCTTTGGCACAGAGGAAGTTGTGCGAAAATCCCATTTCCTACATACCTGGACTCCGTAAGTCTCACACAATTGTCAAAGAAGCAAAACGAAAAGAACACGATTTAAAATTTGAATGTTTTTGTCCAAAAGATCCCAGTAAAATCTCTAGCAGAGAAGTGAAGGCTGGGTATTTGTTGAACCAGGAAAATGTGTGGGATCCAAAGACATGAATTCATGTTTCTATTGTGCAACGGACTGGGATATCTGGAGCGAGTGAAATAAGTCTGACTGAAAGGGGAAGAAAATTTGACTGCCTTGACGATATCACAGAAGGGATGATTGTGAAGTGTTCTCCTTTCTCTCCATCTCCACGTTTCACCAGGCTCTCTGTCCCTTTGTACTCATAGTCAGTCCAGAAAATAATAACCCTCTCCTGATCCTGTTCAATGGACATCTTAGCAATTTTTTTTGCAGCAGCACAATAACTAGAATTTGTACCAGTAACCTGCAATGGTTACAACAAGGGACCTTGTAGTCTCGATCCCAACCGGTACTGTTAAAAAATACTGAGGTCGAAACGAGGTCCAATATCACGATCCCCTAAAATCAAATTTAGAGGAGTGATGGTTTCGTCAAAGCACATGCCAACTAGATCCCATCAAACGCGTGATGGCATACGTGGCAAGGAAAAGGGCATTGCATTCCCTACCGAGAAAGGGTAGGCAACCTTGCCTTTTTAGTTGTTGATGGCTACGCCCGAAGCGGCTTGCCTTGCACATCTTACGTATAAACTTGCCCAGTATTTGAGATCTTGCGAAATTCAGGGAATTTCTTCGAGGTAATTGCCTGATATGACTGAGGGCATTTCCACCGGGATTCTTTCAAGATTCTGCAAATTGTCACGATAATCGCTCAAACGCGTGTGAGAAAAGGGCAGAAAAAGGACGAACACGATTTTGTACATGTGAAAGAGACGCTGATCACCCTGGAAAAGGCGACGAGGGTTTGAGAGTTTTGGTCAGGATTTGGGGGTGATGGGTTCGAGGTTGTCAGAGCTAGCGACGGATCGACGACGCATGGTGCACATCAAGGGTTTCCCTCATGTGCGTTTCCTCTAGAATATGGAAGGGGGGCGGGGGTTGGTGGCGTTTGGCGCAGAAGACGACGTGATCGAAGCGGGCGGAGGACCTGTGACACACGGTGCACGGGATGGGTTTCACGTCTGTGGGCTTCCTCTGGAATACGGGAATGGGGAGTTGGGGTCAGGACTTGGGGGGTTTGGGGAGGTGGCGTTTGGCATGAAGGGCGAGGTGGTCGGAGCGGGCGAAGGACCGATGACACACGGTGCACGTGAAGGGTTTCGCCCCTGTGTGCTTCCTGTAGTGGCGGGTGAGTTCGTCACTTCTCGCGAACCTCCACTGACAGTCCGGCCACTGGCACCTGTACGGCTTCTCACCTAAGATTCCCATGGAAGGGGAAATGAAACAATCTTTAGAGTCGTTCGAGCGACTGGATTCTGCCACGCTCCAACCTCTTTGCAACGTACTTACCGGTGTGTATTCGTTGATGGGCCTTCAAGTGGGAACTCTTCGTGTACACTTTGGTGCAACCTAGTGAAAACGGAAAATGAGCAATCGCGACGAGACAAAAACAAAGGAAAAGAGTAATATGGATGAACCCAGTCCCCTCGGTCGCCCTTCTCTCGTAGAAACACTTCGTCTCGATCGGAGGATTTTTGTGTAAACACGAACGAAGAAAAACTCTCTCGAGTGTCGGAGCGGTGGAAGGTGAGGAAGCGAGAGATCGTGACATCCATTCCTTTCTCCTCCTAGCATTCGGTGAATGCCATGAGGCTAGAAAAGCGCCATTTCTCATGTACGGTACGAGTATTTTTTGCCACGGACTTTGCCAAAAACAATCCCAGCCCTCATTAAGTCTGTCCTCGGTCTTATTTCCCCCTCGAGGCTCGACTCGGCTATCGTTGCACGAAGTTTGAAGGTTAACGCAGACGGTCCTCGTGCACGTGACGTCATTCCACCGTAGGCTTTCGGTGAGGCGAGCGGTAGAAACTCGAGCGGGAAGGCATGGAAGAATGCGGGACGCGACCTATCTTTCGCATTTTTGGCCTCCACTTGCGGACGTGTCTTAACGGTACCGAAACCTAAGGACGAGAGAAGAGAGAGAAGCAGAACTCCACGGCAGAGGCCTGAACTCCGTTCCCGTCCCTTTCACTCTCGTGTGTCGACACGCGCACGCGGAAGGGCACGTGAAATATGGTCGTCAAAATGGGTGTCCTGCGTTCTTCGACGCCATCAGAGATGCACGGATTTCTCCCATCGACGTGAATCTTGTTACGGTGAAACCCCAGAATGAGTTTCTCGATTCGGATATAGAAAGACGAGGGGGCTGGGCACATCCACAGAATGCGCCCCTCATAAACGCCTCAACCGTTTACGAAGCGGGCCGAGATGCTCGTCTGGCTTCTCGACCGATCCCCGAGTGCCCGAGTCAGACGGCTGGGTGGAAGGTGGAAGGTGGAGGGCGTGACTGTCTCGATTTAACAACTTTCAGTAGGGTCAGCTGATTGAATGTTAAAAGGAATCCGTGAATCATCCCGTGAAAAGCCGATTTCAGCAGCCGTCACGGTGTAGAAACAGAGTGGGAAGGCGAAAGTTTCTTTCGCATCATATCCCCATTTTGAATAAGCATCCTTTGAATGTAACAAAATTGAGTTTTTTTTCACGGTTTCCTCTCGACTTAAGTTCTTACCACGACCTAAGAATCCTCTATAAATATCGTTTTTCGTTTTTTGGAGAAAGCAGGCCAAGTGAGAAAAAAAAAATCGGAGTCACCGATCGAGACGAAAGATTTTCCTACGAAGCCGTCGATGCCGATCGGTCGCTGGCAAGATGACCACCGATACGATTACGCCCGACGACCGCGCAGAGCTCATACGCGCTAGGAGGGCATCGACGAGACGGAGAACGGAAAAAAGACGGTGGACTTGCCGGGATAATCACAATGGTGAATGCGTCTCTTCTCCAACTCCGGGTTGTTCCTCCTGTTGTATTTGGGCTGGTTCGTGCTGGAACCGGGCCGGGTGGAACTGGGCGCGGGGTTCGGAGTCGTCGGCGGTGGGGGTGGAGGCGCCAGATGGTTGCTGCTCGGCGGGGGTGGAGGCGGCGGTTCCAGGACCGGGTAGGGCGGGGGCATCAACAGCAGGCCGCTCGAGCCCAGAGCGTCCCCGTGGCTCTGAGCGTCCTCGTGATGGTGATGATGATGATGGAATCGGAGACCCTGGACCTCCGGAACCACGGACGTCGTGTTGCCGTCGTCGGAGATGCCGCACGACGACACCCCCATCAACCAATCGCACGCGAACGGGGACGATTCCGCCCGACCTCGGACCTCTTCGCTTTTCACCTCCACCAGCTTCTCGTCCTGACCCAGGTCGAGTTCCGAGATGTCCTGACTCGTGAACCCCGAGAAGACGAGGGACGGAGGGACCATCTCCCCCGACAGGTCCTGGTGATGCTGCTGTTGCGGCTGCTGAAAGACCTCGTCCGGCATGGAAGCCAGGACGTAACCGGGCGGCTTGAGACACGGACCGGAGAACCGATGCCCCGACTCGAAGAAGTCGTCCACCTGGGACGCCGATTCCCTTCTGGGTTTCATCGGATCCGCGTCGAGATGAAGACCTTGACCTTGCCCTGATGGTCCGGGATCGTTCGGGGTGATGGCGAACGTGCACGGGACGGAAGTGCCCGTCCCGTACACCTCTCCCCCTCCGCCCACGGCCACGAATAGGGCTTCGAGATCCTCCTTCTTGAAACCGGGAAGAGAAAAGTCCGACCGTCAACGTGGAAATCCCTTCGTTCCGTCCTCGAAATCCTCGAGGAAGGATCGCATCCGCATCGTCTCGTTCTATTCGCACTCGTTAGGATCACCGTTCGCGCGATCGATCGTCTCCGCATCTCGTGCTAAGGTTTCCATGAATGTAACATCTCGTTCGGATCGTTCGTCGAAGTTTCGACTTTCGGTTTCGCCGCTCGCCGCGAGTTCCTTTCTGCGGTCGACGACGAAACCCGCCTCGTCCCGGTACGGAACGCGGCCGGATCCGGCATCGATGACGAAACCGTGCCTCCCGATCGACGAGAGAGGGAGGAAGAGAGTCGCGAAGAGGAGAGGGAAAACGCGAAGAGCCCCCGGGCCTCGTTCTCCATACGAGACGGAGAAGGAGAGAAAAAGCGATGCATGATTCATGAGGCCCAGGTGTACGTCCGCGTCCTCCCTCCGATGCCCCGCGTCCTCCCTCCGATGCCTCGCGTCCGCGGAGACGCGAGATTCCGGTCCGTCCGAGAGAGAACGATCCCCGTCCGCGGATTTCCGTCCGAGGAGGAGGTGGAAAGACGGTCGGACGATCCGCGGCCCGTGGATGCCCCCGAGGGACGCCGATGAAAATTCCTCGTGCATCCTCTCATCACCCATCGTTCATCTCTCCCTCCGTACTCTTTGACGGATTCCGGATCCTTCTTTTCCGTCTCCGATCCGTCCCACCGCCTTCCTTTTTCTTTTTCGTTCGGACTCGACCGTTCGCCGGGTCCGTCGGACGGCTCGTCTCCTTTTGTCTCCCTGATTTACGCGGAGTGCCGTCGAGAATCGGGAGGAAACGGAGGGGAGGAGAACCCTTCGGTCTTCACAGGGTCGTTCCGGGGCAATAAAGGGCACCGATGTCGGAAGGGGGGACCGGAGATAAAGGACGAAAGATAAAGGGTGGATGGATGGTGCCGAGAGGCTTTCAGGCACTTGCCATCCCTTAAAAAGATGGCTTCCGGGTGGACCTTTACTCTCTCTCTCTCTCTCTCTCTCTCTCTTTATTAGA